CCTCCAGCGGCGCGGGTTGGGCCGGGGCCAAGCCAAGAACGCCTTCATCAGCTGCACCCGACCGTCCATCGCGCCTGGCTAGCTGGGTCCGCCGGCTTCGCTGGCCTCGCTGGGCTGCGTGGAGGTCAGCGCCGAGCTGTCGCCGCCGGAAGTACTCGCGGAGGTGGGCGCAGCCTTGGGTGGGCGGTGCCAGGCGGGATTTTGTGGACCTTCTAGGCCCCTGACAAGGCTAAGCAGTTGGTAGTGCACCGGTGCTTCCCAAGGTCTATGGGGTTGAAGAGAATGTGAGGGAGGGCCTAATGCCCTGGAGAAGACTTGATTGGAATTGGGAGGCGGGGCCAAGCTTTCCCAAGGCAGGCGTGGGAGAGTGTAAGGTGTGGGAGGAGCCTTAACCATGTTAGGAGCTGGAAATGGATGTTTCAGTTAGTTGTTAGCCCTCTTGTCACGCCTCTTGCTTCCTACCATGCATATTGAGTCTTAGGTATTTCTTCTGGGACCCATGGCTACAGGTGGCAGTTGAATAAAATTCTGTGAACACATTTTACTTTTTGTGTGGATGCATAAGAAGTATTAGCTGTCTGGTGGCAGATGTGGTTGTTTTTTCAGAATAGAAAAGCACCAAATGTTACCAAACATAATATGCACACAGTAACATGCTCAGTAGTGTGCCAGGAGCTGTGAATATATGGTGGGTTAAATGTTAATTAAGAATCTCTTAATTTGTTATAAAAGTTGATGGCAATTCTCTCACAATGCCCTGAGCATAGCAGGCAGTTCACAACACTGTGACAAACAAGACAGAGTAATATACAGCATAACTGAGATCATGACAGTAACATCTCATCATCTTTGCCATATTCTGTTGATTAGAAACAAATCACAGCTAAAGGCATGACCAGAGGCTTGAGGTGACCTTAGTGGTTGCCAGAGTATGGATGTACCACAATGGCAGCCCATTTCCCCATTATAGGCATTTACCACGTTTTTAGATAAGGCAATTACATAAATAATTGGCTGTAAACGTTCATGTACAGATTTTTGTGTGCGTGGTTTTATTTTTCTAGAGTAAAAGCTTAAAATGGATTTCTGTGTCATAAGGTTCCTAATAAAAACTCTAATCAAACTAAGCACAGAAGAGAATGCCAAATCTGATTGAGGGTGATGCAGGAGACAGAACAAGAAGTTAGCAACACAAACCTGTGGAACATGAACCAAGAAACCACACAGAGGACAGATGACTATCAAAATGTGAGAAAATGGATAAATAAAGGTCATCCCCCCAAGACTCCCAAGCATGAGCAAATCCAAAAGTACAGGACTCTGGTCTGTGTCTAACCTCATTTACACTGCCTTTTGTACCCCTCAGTGGGCTTTGGGCACCAGGACACTTCCTCTAAAAACTTTGCATGGTTAAATAACTTCCCTTCTGATGGGCGGGCCCAATCAGGTACCCGTTTGGGCCATGACTCCTGTCACTCCTCAGCTATAGACCCTCGAAATAATCCCAAGATTTCAAGAGACCCAATTCTTGCCCCTATCTGGCTGTGAGTTCTTCACACTGGCCCACACCCACCTTGTGGAGTGCGCCTTCACCTCTTTCTCCTACTCTTGTTACTCCTTTTAAATGAATCATACTGTTGCTATTCTTTCTAAGTATCCTACTCAATTCTTCATAGCAGACACCAAAAAGTTGGAAACAACCTAAGATGCCTCCACTGAGTAACAAGGACATTTACAAGAATGATAAACTTGAGTAATTTGGAGGAAAAAGGATGCACTTTGAGACCATAATACTAAGTGAAACAAATCAGACACAGTTAAACATCATATTGTTTATTTTATATGAGACCTCCACAATATTAATAAAGACTAAAATGAAAGATTATAGGAAACAGGGAGGTAGTCTTTGAGGAGATGGAAGGGGGAAAGGGAAATTAAAAATTATTAAGATATGATATGTATGGATACCAATTCCCAAAGATAAATGTAATTATTATGTATCACAAACCTATACTTAAAAAAGAAACTTAAAAATACAGCTATCTGGTTAAATAACCCTTAGTTATTGCAGGCATATCAAGCGCACAATCTTCTGAATGAGTGGAAGGCAAAGGTTTAAGTAAATGAAACAACTGAAACTATTTCAGGGCTCCAGAGGGTCTAATTCTCTTACAGCATTTGATATTCTCTGGTTTAGACAAAGACTTCTCTGGAAAGCCCATTATTTATTTGATTTTCAAACAAAGGAGGGGAATGCTCAAGAAAATGCAGGAATCTCAGCAGGACCTTGGGAAATATTTTCCCAAGTAGTAAATTATGTCAATCAGGAGAACTACCTTATCTTTTGGTTGGTATTTATTGTAGGAGTGTGGAGCCTGCAGCTGCAGTCTCCTTCTAGTTAAATGGGGGATGGGGCCAGACATCCTTAGCTGTGGCCTTATCTTGTCCTTTGAGGCATCACAGCTTCACAGGCCAACACAGGCCCCAGCAGTGACCAGTGACTCACAGAGGTTTACTTACTATGAGTCCACTGCCCATCTTCAGAGAAGGTGCCTAAGCTTTGGACAGCTCACAAGTAAACACGGAAAGCCAATTCATTAATATTAAATCCTGCTGAGAGTCACTTTGCAGTGGTCTGCAACATACAGCTAATATCATACTTAAAAGTGAATGACAGAATGTTTTCCATCCTTATATCAAGAACAAGACAAGAATACCCACTCTGAACACTTCAATGCAGTACAGTTCTATAGGTTCTAGGCCAGACCTGGCCAACACACAACCTGAAAGTCTAGTAATGAGGCCCCATAAGAGCCTAAATTTTTAACATTACTAAGTGTTTTTTAGTGATATTTTTCATGGTTGAAGGCATGGTCCTCCAGTAACAACTTTGTAGTAAGCAAAAATAGAGTGCTGTACCATTTCACACAAAAGTAGAATGGAAACCCAAACTATTAGAAATTACATGCTGAGGCTAGGTGTGGTGGCACATGCCCATAATCCCAGCACTTGGGAGGCTGAGGCAGGAGGATTGTTGCAAGTTTGAGACCAGTCTAGGATATAAAGTGAGCTCAAGACCAGCCTGAACTGCATAGTGAGACCCTGTCTCAAAAAGACAAAAAGGGGGCTGGGGATTTAGCTCAGTGGCACAGCACCTACCTGGCTAAGGCAAGGTCATGAGTTCAATTCCCGGTACCGGAAAAAAAACAAAACAAAAAAATCAAAAGGACAAAAATAAGAAAGAAAGAAAGAAAAGAAATTACATGCTCTTTTGCAACAAAACAAGTAAAATGCACTGATTACCAATAATAGTATTTCAGTATACCTACTTGAGTGTGACTGTGAAGATGGACATTTATAGTTACAAAGCAGACATAAAAGATGTATTATTTAAAGATTAAACTTGGGATTGTGTTATTTCATGAAAAAATTTAATAAGTTAGTACCTATCTTCCCAGAGAAAAATATTCCTCAATTAACAATCACACCTTATTCATGTCATTGCTTTTTGGCAGTATGTATATTTATGATTACCCATTTCCAAGGATGAAGCACAAGAAGTGTAAAATTAGATAAAAAATTTCTGACAAGCACCTTTAGAACATATTAACAAGTGCAACTACTTCCATCAAACCAGACAGTGATGCATTAATGACCCAAAATAAGGTCAAATATCCCACAAATTTTATATTTTTGTTGTTTTATTTTTAAAGAGGTGTTACAATAAAAATATTTTAAAATTTATACATTAACTATAGTATATAATTTATATGTGGCTGAAGACAATTGCTCTTTTCAATGTGTCCAGACAGTTGGGCATTCAATTTCTTGACAGTGCTATCACAAATAAAATGGAAAAAAGAAGGAAAGTTCATTGTGATTGGTAAAGAAGAAGGCAGATTCTTGTTATTTGTAGACAACATAATTCTGTCTTTCAAAAACATATTGTTTATGAATAAAATTACTAAAAAAGACATAAGCAAGAATTGAGGACAGAGTGAATATATAAAAATCAATTCTTTGTCTAGTAATAAATGAGAAATTTGAAACAAAAAATGTAAACACAATAAAGATATTAAAGTTAGGTTTAAATGTTAAAAATAATAAATACTTGTACAGTGAAAACTACAGAACATTCTTTACATAAATTACAAAATATCTGAGTAATGGAGAGATATATGTTTATGGGTTAAAGACTCAATATTGTTGGAATAGCAATTTTTCCAAAATAGATATGCACATTTAAATTCCAGCAATTATTAATACATAAAAATAACTGATTAATTCTAAAATTTATATAGAAATGAAAAGGTGATATACAAATGAAAATAATTTTGATTAGAAGCAGTAAGTTGGAGAACTAAAACTATTTGATTTCAAAATCCACAGTGTATTTGTACTAATTAAGACAATGTGAGACAGGAGGTCCTCACTCAGAAGCCCCAGGGACTGCTCTGGCTGGTGGGGGGCATGTGGCCCTTCCCTGCACGCGCCCTGCGCCAAGTGAGCGAGTGCTCCAACAGCTGGTGGTCCCATGGTTTGAGTCTGTGTGTTACTCCCACTGCTACGGTTCTGAGCTGAAACTAGCAGAGAGAGCCAGAGAGGAGGTCCTCACTCAGAAGCCCCAGGAACTGCTCTCATTGGGGTGCACTTGTGGCCCCTACCTGTGCACGCACTTTGCCGACTGAGTGAGTGTTCCAAGAGCTGCTGGTCCAGTGGTCAAACTCCATGCTTTACTTGGGCCCAGATTCCCTAGGGGGTCTCAGGCATGGGCAGTTAGTGATTGCTGCCCATCCGGCCTGCATTTGGTTCCTGTATGTGTCCTGAATGGAATGGAGACACAGAATCAGGTGGTTCACAAATTGTCGATGCTGCAGTTCATGTCTGGGTTTTGCCTGTACCCTGAACTGCCTGGGGACATCGGTCCACTGGTCTGGGATTGTCACACCAGTGCAACCCGAGTCTGGGCCGTGAACGTGCCCTGAACTGCAAGGGGATGCTGGATCAGA